CTCCCGATCTATTGTGCGTTCTGGGAGTTTTAGGGTATATGGAGTTATATAGGCAGAAGAAGCACGTCAGGGGAGCCACGGGGGCCCCATGAGGCAGGGGGTGCGCCCTAGGGGGGTGGGCGCGCCCCAACCCTCATGGGCAGCTCCCGTATCTTCTGGCGTGGGGTCCAAGTCCATCAGGTGTGTTTCCTTCCAAAAATAACTTCTCCAGTTGATTTCGTTCCGTTTCGACTCCGTCTGATATTCCTTTTCTTTAAAACACTGAAATAGGCATAAAACATCAAATCTGGGTTGGGCCTCCGGTTAATAGGTTAGTCCCAAAAATAATATAAAAGTGGATAATAAAGTCCAATATTGCCCAAAATAGTAGATAATATAGCATGGAGCAATCAAAAATTATAGATACGTTCGAGACGTATCAGGCTACCCAACACATGAGTCTCTCTCCCTCTTGGCGCAGCCCTACCCCTCTCCCTCCTCATCTCTTGCAGTGCTTGGCGAAGCCCTGCTGGCGTGCCATGCTCCTCCACCATCACCACGCCATCGTGCTGCTGCTGGACGGAGTCTTCCCCAACCTCTCCCTCTCTCCTTGCTGGATCAAGGCGCGAGAGACGTCACCGGGTTGTACGTGTGTTGAACGCGGAGGCGCCGTTGTTCGGCGCTTAGATCGGAATCGACCGCGATCTGAATCGTTGCGTGTATGACTCCGCCAACCGTGTTCTTGTAATGCTTCCGCTTAGCGATCTTCAAGGGTATGAAGATGCACTCCCTCTCTCTCGTTGCTAGTATCTCCTAGATTGATCTTGGTGACACGTAGGAATTTTTTTAATTATTGCTACGTTCCCCAACAGGCGCTGCATGCATCGCTGGCCTGGGCGCGTGTCGAAGCGAGGCGGAGCGGCGACGGACGGGACGGGCCTCGTTCCCGTCCCCGATAAAGCTAATGGACACCTACGTAGCACATTTAATGCACTTTGTCTCGTAATGCCGTGCGATAAGCTCGCGCACTGTAGGCCTTTCCACCTCCTGTGTGCCACTGTGGAACCCCTTTTTCCAATAAAAGGAGGCCTAAGGTGACCAGGGGAGGGATTCGGCTTTTTGGAACGGCACAGCCACCGTAGCTACTTCAAAAGGCTAAAGAACACTCAATACATCCACCAAAGCAGTACTAGGGTCTTACGCATCCGCGCGACCCAAACCTGGGTAAACGATCCGTGTGCTAGCTCCTAAACCTGCTCTTCTCACGACCCCACGCCCGCCGATCGTAGAAGGGATCCGAGTGATCCCATAGGTGTCGTTCCCACCGACAAGCGGTGTGGAGGCATAATGCTCCCCAAGTGCCACAATGGCTCACCGTATTCTCCTCATGCCCTCGCATAATGCAAGGTGTCGTGATTCCACTAAAGGAACCTTGAAAGCGGTCACCGAACCAGTACAATTGGAGACCCTTGAGGGCGTTCACCAAACCCGTTCAAATTGCTCGAGCAATCTCCACATCTTAATGGAAGTATCCCAAAACTTGCCCGAAATGCCAAAATGATTGAGCTTCATGACAACACCAATCATTTAGGGTGTTCAAGCAACCAAGAGGAACAAGCCCTAGGGTACCAAGCACCCATGAGTAATAATAAGTTACTCAACTTTCACTTCCACGAATCCTCATGGAGAACTCAAACCGATGCGACTAATGCAATGTTAAGAGCACACAGAGTGCTCAAGTCCTTCTTTCCCAAATCCCTCAAAGCAACTAATGTTATGGAGGAATATGGGGGGAAGAACAAGGAGGAGAACACCAAAGGACTCCCAAGATCTAGATCCACAAGGTTTCTCTCGCGAAGAGGAGAGATGGATTGGTGGAATAGTAGATTTAGATCACCTCACTTTCCCCCCTCAAATAGATGCAAGAATCATGGGAGGAATAGAGTGAAAGCAAGTATTAAGAGGACAAAAATGGTGGGGGCAAAACTTTAGGCCACCGAGCAGTGACTTTCCTGACAGGCTCCACCTTGGGCCACTTCGTGAACTTATCAATGGCTACGTAACTCAAAGCCCTCGGTTGCACGGGGAAATGACCCGAGGATGTCCAACTCTTAGATTGCGAACGACCATGAGAGAGGGATGGTCTGTAGTGTCTGCGCTGGTTGATGGATCTCTTTGAAGTGAAACTCGCAAATATCACATGTATGCACCAACTCCTCTGCATCACTCAAGGCTGTAGGCCAATAGAATCCTTGTCGAAATACTTTGCCTATGAGTTCTCGCGACCCAATATGGGTCCCACATATCCCCTCGTGAATATCTGCCAACAAACCTTGCCCTTGTTCCATAGGGTTAAATTGTAGTTTCATCCCATTGGGCACATCCGATAAAGATCCCCATCCATGAACATGTCACAACCCAAAATTCTCCTGAATTTTGGATGTGAACTTAGAAGCATATGCATTCATGGTTTACCTTGTATATTTGGTTTTTGAAACAAATATGACCAACACTTGAATTCAAATCCTTTCTTGAGTTTATTTGGAGGCCATGGAAGTTTCACAAAATGATTTTTAGAAAGTTGCATAAGGGCAGGAAAGTAATTTCCTAAGATTAACTTCCTATTTTGTTTGAGTGAACCAGGGTTTGAAAATAGTTTAATTTGGGCAATCAAACTTTGAATAAAACTCCGGATAAAATAAATAAATCATAAATAGAAAAATAAAAGAAATAACTTTGCAAATAGGTCTAATAGTTAGTGAAAAAAGTAGTTTTTTCAAAATCCTTTGAGGAAAAGTCCAAGCAACCAGGAATATTCCCAATGGATTTTAGGGGAAATTTCCTTTTTGGGGAAAATTCAAATTCAATTTCAAAATTCAAAACTGAGAGAAGAACAGAAAAACAGAAAAAGAAAAAAGGGCGAGGCCAGCCGAGACCTAGCTAGCCAGCCGGCCCAGCCGCTCGCGCATGCGCCCTCTCTCTCCTTTCTCTTTGTGAGGCGGGGCCCACATGTCAGCTCCACCCTCAACCGCCGTCCACCCCACGCGCGCATGACCCCACCGCCCACATGCCCATGAATCCACCTCTGCACGCTCCGGCCACTCCCCAACCCTCGTGACCATGTCCATTAAATACCCCCGGACCCCCTCTCCATTTCCCATTATCCAATCGAGGCCGAGTGCCGCCAAGCTGCCGGCAACACACTACGCTATCCGCCACTAACCCAGGCGTCACCGGCTTGATTCCGACGAGGCCAGAGCCCCTTGCGACCACCCGCCACCATCACGAGGTCCGCCTCTCCACAACGATCCTCCTGGACATCCTCGTCGTGCCCATAGCCCTCTGGAATGCTAAGAACATCGGAGCCCGAAGCTCAGCGCGCCGCCACTGTGATTCCGGTGAGCTCCATTGTCCATTTGGTCTCGTACCTTGTCCATTGCTCTTGTTTGGGTCGTGTGCATCTCACTAACCCACATGCGCGTCCAAAAGCGCTTGGTTTCAAGCATAGCAACCGCACCCGAGGATCTTGCCGTCTTCGTCGAGCTCGATGTCGTCGCCTCCGTCGTTCCCGAGCTCGGCTAAGACCACCATAAGACCCAAGATGTCGAGACGAGACAACACCCCCCCACACACACACACATATTAGAGCATTTCTAAATATAAAGAAAATTAAGAAAAAATAACATAAAAAGGCTCACAGTGCAAAAAAAAGAAATTGCTAGTAGTGGGTCGGCCAACTAGGGAGCTCCTATCTGCCGCTTATTGCGGCGGATTGTCGGGCAAACGCACAGGCGGCCCCGACTAGGCCGACCCACTAGCAAACGAGCGGATGTGCCAGCGATCAACCATAGCGACTATAAATTCGGAAAAAAACGACAATTACCGAGGTTTGAACACGAGATCTCCAGCAAAGAATCTTTTTGTGATAGCCACCGTAGATAATGAGAGCTAATGATCACAATGTTGTGCAAGACTATAAGAACCAATACAAACGCAAATCCAGGCATTTTCTTTTCCTTTTCTTTTCTTGTTTTGAAAGTTTAGATCGAAATTCCAAAAAATGTTCTCAAACCTGAAATTTGTTGAAAATTTTGGAAAAAGTTCATGCTTTCTTTTTTTTTGCAAATTTCAAAACATGGTCATGTTTTTAGAACTTGTTCATATTTTACAAGAAATGTTCAAAAACTTCATAAATTCTTCGCTTTTTTGGAAAAATGTTCATGATTTCAAAAAATGCTCATGTTTATAAATAATCATATTTTTTGTCAAATGAATGTTTAATGAAACGTGAACACTTTTCACTCAAAACATTTTCTAAAAACGTGAATATTTTTTTAAAATTACCATTTATTAATAAATGGACATTTTTTGAAACTCTTAATAAAATTAGAAAACACGAGAAATTTTTGAAAACAGGAACATTTTTTGAAACTCCAAAACAAATTTGAATACGAGAACATTTTTTAGAATGTGCGAACAATAGTAGAAAAAGGGAACAAATTTTGGAAACATGAATGTTTTTTGAAGAATGTGAACATTTTTTGAAACTACAAACAAAATTGAAAAGCTGAACAAATTTTGGGAACACGAATATTTTTTAAAACTCCTGAATAAATTACAAAACAAGACATTTTTTGGAAAACTGCGAACAATTTTTAATACACAAACATTGTTTTGTGAAGAAATCAAAATTTAAAAATAAAAAATTTAAACGGAAAAGGAAAGAAAAAAAGAAACTGAAGAAAGGAGATAAAGACCAGGAAAAATAAAAAAATAAAAGAAATAGAAACAGAAACAGAAAAAAATCCCGGCTCTGGAACCTCCTAGAAGATTCCCAAAACCGAAAAAAGGATTGATGAAGCGCTTAACAGGCACGGAACAAAAATACTGCCTAATCTCTGGCCCAACGCAGCTAAAAAATGCACAAAGTAAAGACCAAACAGGGCCAGCCCAAAAAGCAACAAGAGGCGAGTGAGACCTAGACTGACCCGAAAGAAAAAACGTCTCGCTTGGCTGCGGCGATGGCGGCGCTCCGCTGCGCGGCGAGGAGGATCGTCGGCGACCAGCCACCGCGGCTGGTATGCAGGGCGTCCGTGGTGGAGGGGCGACGGCGTATGTCGCCGGCGGTCATCGACCGCGGTTCGTCCGCCCGTCCTCGCTGCTTCTCCTCGCAGGTGCGGGCCATTTTCCACTCTAATTTTGCCGGAAATCCGACTGTTGCTGCTAAGATCTAGCTATTCTGCTAGTCAGTTCTTCCCTAGATTGGCTGGTTTAGAGAAAACCTGTCATGCCCTGGGGTGGATCAGAGGACGAGTGTGATTGTACGAACTAGGGTTTGAGGCTGAATTGGGGATCGAATTTGGCCAAGCCAAGAGGAATTGTATATATTACAGAGTATAGTTGCTGTAAAGTGTATGAGTAAAGTGATTTAGTAGATCACATAGCAAATGACATGCCCACGCAGGAGCTGGACCTGGCTGTTATATAGCCCGACACAGAGGTTGAACGGAACAGTACGTGAAATGCTACAGCAACGCTATTAATACGGCGAGTGACGCGAGCTGTTAGATCAGATCTTGCCGATGCCTCCTGGCCGTCCATTAACTGAATGGAGCGTTGCACCTTCAGATACCTGACGCTACCTCCCTCTCGAAACACTCCTTGTCCTCAAGGTGGGCCGTGCTCGCGCCAGCTTTCCACCGTGTGCTTGAAGAATACCGGGAACGTGTGCTTGATGAAGTCCACATCCTCCCATGAAGCATCATCCGGTGGCAAAATTTTCCCATTGTACTAACCATTGTACCACAGGTAAATTGTTCCTTGGTACTTGACGAACTTCCAATGCCAAAACAGGCTCAGTCCTGACTTGGCCATTAGGGCCAATTAGAGGAAGATTAGCACAAGGAATCGCTGTCGGACCAATATGCTTTTTGAGCTGACTTATATGGAAAACTGGGTGTATTTGAGTACCCTCTGGTAACAGCAACTTATAGGCCACATTTTCTACTCTGCTCGGCACCCTAAAAGGTCCATAACACTTGTTTTGGAGCTTGATGTGGTGCCTGATCCCGAAAGCATTCAATCTTTATGGCTGCAGCTTCAGATAAACCATATCTCCTGGGGCTAGCACTCTTTTTGTCCTCTTTTTATCTGCATACTTAATCATCCTAGCTTGGGCTGCTTGTAAGTTGTGTTTTAACTGTCCCATAAGTGCTTGTCTGTCCACTGTAGGGCCATTAACTCCAATTTCCATTGACCCAGGTAAGGAAAACTCACTGATATTTAGAGGATCATATAACCATATAAAGCTTGGAAAGGTGTTTTCTGCAAAGAGGAGTGAAATGAAGTATTATACCAGTATTCTGCCATTGCCAGATGATACACCCACTTCTTTGGTTCTGCAGAGACCATGCACCTTAAATAATTCTCAATACACTGATTGACCCTTTCGGTCTATCCATAAGATTGGGGATGATATGCAGAACTGTATCTTAAATCAATGTGCATTGCAGCAAAGATGTCCTTCCAAAGCTTGCTAGTGAAGATTTTGTCTCTGTCTGACACAATAGCTATGGGAGGTCCATGCAATTTAATTACATTGTCAATAAATGTAATAGCTACTGACTAGACAGTATATGGATGAGACATTGCAATGAAATGGGAAAATTTTGTCAGTCTATCCACTATTACAAAAATAATCTCCTTGCCATTGGATTTAGGCAGTCCCTCAATAAAATCCATACTTCAGTGTGTCCATGCCACATCTGGAATATGTATGGATCCAGCAATCCTGGATAATGGCAGTGCTCACCCTTGTTCTTCCGGCACACAGGGCATTCTGCCACAAAGATTTCTAGGTCTTTCTTTATTCCAGGCCAGTAAAATATCTTCTTCACTCTCCGATAAGATGCTTTCATTCCACTATGCACCCCAAAGCAGAAGAGTGTAAAGCAGTTAACATTCTCTTTTGAAGAGCTAGATCATTGCCCACATAAATCCTGCCTTTGTGTCGTATAATGCCCCCTTGCACAGAATTGTGATTAGACTCATGACTGGGCAGAACCAGTAATTCTTCCAATATCTTCTTGCAAGCAGTGTCTTGTAAATAGGACTGCTCTATATCTTCTGTCCACTTAGGGGTCACTAGAGAAATAGCCATGAGAGTGAATTTCCTTGACAATGCATCTGCAGCTACATTTTCTTTGCCCTTCTTGTATTGTATCTGAAAATCAAATTCCAACAACTTAATCATAAGTTTCTGCTGTATTTTCCCAGTAACTTTTTGGTCTGTCATGAATTTTAGACTTTGATGATCTGTTCTGATAATCAGTTAATGCCCACTAAGTAATGTCTCCACTTTTTCAAAGCTGCAATGATAGCCAGTGCCCAGTGCTTCCTTTTCATAAGTAGACAACAACCAGTTTGTGGGACAGAACACTGCGCTATAGTAAGCAATAGGTTTCCCTTGCTGCATGAGAACAACCCCAATACCCTGACCAGATGCATCAGTTTCTAAGACAGAAGGCAGAGTGAAATTTGGCAGGGCCAAAACAGGAGCAGAAGTCATTGCTTTTTTTAATTGCTGAAATGCCAAATCCTGAGCTGTAGACCACTGGAAACAGCAACGGCTCTATAGAACAGTGTGTTGTCAAAGCAAATTTGAGGTTCATGAATGTAGAATTACTTCCTGAATCAACTAAAGCCACTGCTTGTTTGTCCCCAATAGTAACCAATACAGATAAAGTACTGACCCTACTAGTGCTCATAGCTTGCAAAGAGATCTGCATGCAGTTTTCATCTGCAGGTTGCTGATCTGACTGGTCCGTTTTAGTTACCTCCTCTTGTTCAGTAGATGAGTCATTTGGTTCTTCCCCAGTGAGCAGATTAATTACTGGAGCCTGCTTGCACTTATGGCCATGAAACCATACATCTCCACACCTCCAACATTTACCCAACTCTCTTGCTCTTTGTATAACATGAGGATCCTTGTTATCTGTGCTCTTTTCTGCAGTTGTTCCTTGTTCTTTGTAATGCTGAAATGTATACTTGCTTTTATCAGTTGTGAGAGGAGGATAGGGTTTTCTTGCAGTAGTTGCTTGCTCAATGTCCATAGCCAACCAATAAGCATATGTGAGTGTTTCTGGTCTGAGTGGCCGAAGTTGGAACTTAATAGTGGCCCTCATCCCATTGACATAGCACTTAACAAACCACATTTTAGTAAAATTTGGATTATCTTCCTGAACTTCAGCCATTAGTTCCTCAAACTGATCAGTATATTCAGCAATGGACAAATTATTTTGCTTGAAAGCATTAAATCTGTCAACCAAATCATAAGTGCTGGAAGCAGAAAATCTGTGCAAAATTTCCTCACAGAATTGTGTCCAAGCGTACTGTTTCTTGAGAATTCCTGCCCTTCTGAGCCATACATCTGCCCTGCCCACAAAATACATCTGTGCTAGTGAAACCTTGTATTCTGGTGGTGCCCCTGCCATTTGAAAATACTTCTCAGCTTGACGTATCCAGCCCCCAGGGTTTGCTCCATCAAACCCGGGAAATTCCATCTTAGGGCCCTTGGTCATTGACTTAAGGAATTGAGCTCTCCTGTCCTTCTCATAAGCTTCGGGATAATCTTCCCGCTGCAGCTTATTGCCCTGTTGTTGTATCTGGTAGAAAGCTGGTGTACGAGTTGTCCTAGTAGGAGCAGCTGGAGATCCTTGCACTCATATAACCTTAGGAATTGCTGCATTTCCATATCCTGGTGGAGCAGCTCTGCGTGCAGTGTTGATTGGTGGAAGTTCATTACCTGTCAACAACTCACACTGCCTAGTTTTCTCTTGTTCAACCAGCAACCTTCTCTTCAACTCCTCGATCAATTGTCTATGATGATCATGCTGACCTTCCTTAGAGATTTCCTGCACAATAGGAGATTTGACAGGTGGTGGTTCCTGTTCCAAATGACTTGGAGGAGTATCAGAGGAAGAGGCTGGTGCATTTGCACTGAGATTTTTCGGAGCATCAGAAATAGCTTGTAGTTGACCACTTAAAGCTGACACCGCTGACTGCACTCCGGAAATAACTGATGCCATGGTGTCATGCTTATAATTTGTAGCCTGAATTTCTTTTCTCATTAGATCTACTTCCTCCAGTAATCCAGTAGTTTCCTCACGAGTATCCAACATTTCCTCCTTGAGGTGAAGAAGTTCGGCCGGATCAACCTCCTCCACGGCCTGCTTCGAACGCCCCATGATGTTAATTGTAATTGGTTTAACTACTGCCAGTCCAAAAATTTAAGCGAACGATGCTCATTTAATTTTTATGCTCATATTGTTTCAGGGTGGCGATGATGATCCGCTTACATCTGAAGAGAAGATGAGACTATTTAAAAGGGGCGCTCACTTGATCTTCAGGATGACAAAAGCCATCTCCACCGTTGTGGTCTGCGGAATAGTCATCAAGTGGTCAGTAACAGAGGTGTTCCGTCCTTACCCGACAAGCGATTGTGCACGTGCTGTCCGGAAATGCCGTGAGATGGTGAGTAGTTTTTTATTGTGGCTGTACTATTTAAGTAGCTAGTGCACATGTTGTTTGTAATCACTTCTTATGAATGTTTATCTGTGTCTACCTTTGTGTTCAGCTACAGGGTCTACGGGGCAACCCTCCAACATTGGAGGTTGGTCCTGTGCTGGGTGATGAGATGCTGGCGGCGGAGGTGGCAGCGTTCAAGTCCATGGTGAAGGATATGAAGCGAGAAGCAGCGGAGAGACTGGAGGACTGACTGAGTCAAGCTGGGAAGATCTGCACCTGGTTCTCAAGCTATCATGACCATTGCGTCTGGTGTATGGGTTCCTATGGTCTACGTGAAACTCTTTTCAAGGTTGATCAGGGACTTGTGTGCTCCTCAGCGTGCAACACCGAAACAATGAAAACTGAAAGTCTTTTGTGTTGTTATCTTCTCCAACCATCTGAGAAGGGACCAATGCATGTCTAAGAAGGGTATAAGCCAACATCCCCTGGATTATCATAGTATAAGTGAAGGGAGTGTGCTTTGTTATTACCGGGCTCTGATGGTATCAACATATTTTGTGATGTCGAGGCTTTGCTGGATGTGAGGAGGTATTGCCGCTCCTGGATGTGTGTGGATCTTGCAAGTTTGCAACTATATACTGTTACCAAGGACATGAAGAATTCAGTCGAAACCTGTTTATGAAATGTATGGTTACTGGAGCGCTCCATGTTTCTCTAGTTGCATGTTGTGGTTGCTGCTGAAGAACCTTGTACTGTAGTTGCATGTTGTGGTTTCTCTAGTTGCATGTTTGTGAGTTAGTTCATGACTACTGTGAATGTTTTTGTTCTCAATTGTAAATGCAAAGGTCGTGTTGACAAGAGGATGTATCATGAACTACCGACACCAACATTCAGATAATACATACAGTAGATAGATAGATAGATAGGAGCTTCTGCAGAGTTCGGATACTGAACAATGTTGCTTGCTAAACTCGGGCATGTTGAGAACTAGATTAGAGATCAGATGGGGCACAAATGGCTAGTGATGACGACGTCAGGAACTGAAAAATTATAGTATTGTGAACTAAGAATGGCTAGTAATAAAGCTTTGCGACTCCACTAATCTCGGGGTGGAAATTCTTTTTCTTCTCTAGGCCGGATCTCTTTAATCTCTTGATTGCTACAATATGGGCCAGTTCTTTTCGGCAATTCTCTCAGGATTAACCCCCTCTCTAGCTTCTCCCAGAATTGTCACTTCATTTTTGTTTACAATTCCTAGCTCATTCTGGGAAAAGCTGATGAGGGGTTAATTCTGAGAGAATTGCCAAAAGAACTGACCCTATATACCCCATCTGGCAGGATTCCACTGTGGCTACCACTACCACCTGCCCAAGTATCTATCCGAAGCTTCATGAGATCTTTTTCTTTTCTTGCTTGGTCTGTAAACGAGTAGCCAGACCGCAGCAACCAGCGTGGTCGAGAGAATCAAGCCGCTCACAACAACAAGGACTACGAAATATTCCTCCTTATGGCAGTGATCATGGTAGCATCTATCTTCTGTACAAGTCAATGGGCGTCAGACTGTTAGTGTAACCATTGCATCCTTCAGCGTGTCGCGGCTACTGCTGCTCTGGGCCGATTTGCTCTCCTCGCCAAGAGTTTTTTCCTTCTTTTTTTGAGCTGGGCCCAGAGCTTTTCCTTTTTTTTTGAGCTGGGCCAAGAGATTTTTCTATTGAAAGAAGTATACAAATCACCCCCAAATCTACTCTTTGGGATACATAACCCCCTGAACTCAAAACCGGGATAAATAACACCCTGAAATTACTAAAACCGGATTAATAACCCCCTTGAGTGGTTTCTGTCTAATCTAGAGCGGTTTTGTACCCCATGATGCAGATTACGCGCTAACTGGGCAAATTACGCTGAGAAGGTCCCATTAGTCAGTTGCCTCTCTTTCCTTTATCACCTCGTCCCCTTCCTCTCTTTCTTTTTCCGTGAGCGCCATCGCCTCCAGAATCGCCTCTCCTCTTTCTCTCGCTAGGGCGCTGTCCGCCGTCGCCGCCGTCCCCATCCGCCCTCGCCGCCGTCATCTGCTGCTTGCCTGTCGCCGAAGGAATGAAACCATGTGTCCAGGTGTGTGTGCCTCCATCTCCGTTGCTGCTCTGCTTCGCTTCTGGTGTCGTTCATCGGCGGAATCGCGAGCTCCAATGAACGATCGTGTGCACCGCAGAGGTGTGGGCTCGGGTGAGGGGAATGGGGCGTCTTAGTGCTAGGGATTTAGGGGGATAAGTAGTGTTTTGGATGCGCCCTGTTCTGTTCAAGTGCGTTTTGGATGATGCCCTATTCCGTTCATGAAAAAAGGGATGTTTTTGTTAGGGAAAAGGTGTGACTTTTTAGCAGATTTTGGTGCAGGACAAGCTGGTATCTCTCATGCAAAGTAAATGAGTCTGAATGAACTTGCATTGCTAGGAGAATTTATTGTAGATGATTACCCTGTTTGGTTAAGGAGAAAAGTGCACTTTCTTGTCTGAATGAACTAAACATGTTAGTCCATAGTAAATTATCTGCTATACTTGTCTGAATGAAGTGTTTTTGTTTGAATTTGTTGCCTTCGTATATCACAATTGTAGTCCAAACTGTAAATGTTAGTTCTCTTAATTTTTGTGTACTGTCAGAGCTAAAGATCCAACAGTTTTTTTTCTATGAATGATAGTTCTTCGTGTCTCAATTTGTAGGTTCACCTGGTCCCGATCCATTGGACAACTTCTTTGTCAGGTTTCATTATTATGGATCATTTCAGCAAGTGGATGGAAAGTTGGATTACGTTGGGGAATTGGTGGCAGAGATGATCATGCCAAGGGATGATTTGTCCTATGAAGAATTATATAACTCCGCAGAAGATATTCATCAGATGGAAAGAGGTCACTACAGAGGTAGTTACACCTACAAATTGCATTGGTTGCCTCTAGGGAAAAAAGTCAGTGATGGTCTTATGTTCATGTGTGATGATGAGTCAGTGAAGACGATGGACATTGGAACAATAGATAGTTATGCTGATGTTTTTGTTGAAGAATTGGACATGCCAATCCAGCAACACTTTGACAATGACAAAGAAATGCAACCAGACCAAACCATGTTATCTGCTAATGATGAGCAATTCGACATATGTGCAGGTGATGAACAGATTGACATATGTGCAGGTCTATTGCCAGTAAATGTAGGAGAAACTTACTCTAGGCGGAGAGGGACAAAATTACCACTTATTAGTGTGCAAGTCGTTGACACTGGAGTGGTCGATGAGATGTTACTTGAAAAGATGGCAAGTCCTGCTGAAAGTGCTCAAGTCAGCGCATCATCTGCTCATGAAACACCGAGAGAAGTTTGTGCAAGTGCTGTTAAGTTGGAGGCACACTTTACTGCAGCTGAAGTTGCTATACCTGCTAAGTTGCAAATTAGAAGAAGGGCAGTGGCAAAATCTACTGAACATGTTCCAGCAACAAAAGCACCTCATGTTGCTCCAACAGTTGGTGCAGATCATGAGATTTCAACCGAACATGTTCCGGCAATAGAAGCACCTCCTGTTGACAAATCAGATGAAGAGGATACTGATTATGAACCAATACCTGATTGCAGTTCTGGAGAGGATTCGGAGGCAGAGGAACTGAGAAAACTTGCAAGAGAGATTAGGAGGAATGAGAGAGCTAAGAAGCTAGGACAAAGAAGTGGAATTATAATGCAAAACAATAAAGTGCAATGTAAATCTGATGAGGATTTGGATGCTGGTTTTGAAACTCCATATTTTGACTCTGATGAGGATGATTTCTCTTATGATGAAGAAAGTGATGGAGAAGGAGGTACCACTATGGTAAGAAGGAAGAGCAAGTGGCCTAGGTTTGATAGCAAAGCTGAAAAACCCAACTTTCAACTTGGCATGGTTTTCCGAAGCAGAGAGCACATGAAGAAAGCAGTGATTTCCTATGGAATTAAAACTCACAGGCATTTGTTGTTCAGCAAAGATGAACATGACAAAGTTAGAGCTTACTGTTCTTAGCCTGGATGTAAGTGGGTCATTTATGCATCAAGGACCACTAGACACAAATGGTTGCAAGTCTCAACATTTGTAGATGAGCATCATTGTATTCCAAGAAGAGACAACAAACTAGTGACATCTGTAGTTATTGCTAAGAGGTATGCAGCACTTATAAAAGCAAATCCGACATGGAAATTAGAAAACTTGAAGCAAACTGTTTTGAAGGACATGTTTGCAGATGTCACTATTGCACAATGCAAAAGAGCCAAAAAATTAGTGATGGAGAAATACAAAGATACCACCAAAGGAGAATATTCCTTGGTTTTTGACTACCAATTGGAATTGCTGAGAACTAACCCAGGTAGCACTGTTGCTATCAAACTGGCAGATGATGTGAAGGATGATGAGCATGTTTTTGAGAGGTTTTACATGTGCTTTGGTGCTATTAAGAAAGGATTTCTTGCTGGCTGCAGAAAGGTTATAGGACTAGATGGATGTTTCTTCAAAGGAGCTTGCTTTGGTCAGCTACTTGTTGCTTTGGGAAGAGATGCCAATAATCAGATGTACCCTGTAGCTTGGGCTGTAGTCGAAAAAGAAACATATGAGTCCTGGTTCTGGTTTGTTGAGAAGTTAAACAGAGACCTCAAAATCAGCAATCAAGGGGATGGGTGGGTGTTCATCTCAGATCAGCAGAAAGGACTAATAGGGGCTATAGAGGATATTTTTCCAAAAGCAGAACACAGGATGTGTGCAAGGCACATTTACTCAAACTGGAAGAAAAAACATAATGACAAAGATTTGCAAAAGAGATTATGGAGATGTGCAAAGGCTCCTAACAAGTCTCTATTCAACTATAACAGGGCAAGGTTGACTCAATTCACAGTTGAAGGAGCAAAGGACATGATGAACACAGACCCAATTCACTGGAGCAGGGCTTACATGAAATTGGGAAGCTACTGTGATTCAGTTGACAATAACATGCACGAGTCATTCAACAATTGGATCATGGAATCAAGATATCTACCTATTATATCTATGTTGGAGTGGATAAGATGCAAAATTATGGTGAGGATACAAGAATGCATTACCAAGTGTTTGAAATGGTCAGGAATCATATGTCCAAACATATTTAAGAAACTAAAGCAGAATATAGCAAGATCTGGAAATTGTCATGTGCTCTGGAATGGAAGAGATGGGTTTGAGGTGTTAGAGCATGATAAATACAAGTACATTGTGAATTTGCAAACTAGGGTTTGTTCTTGTAGATATTGGCAGCTATCTGGTCTACCCTGCTGCCATGCAATAAGCTGCATCTACAAGAGCTCACAACAGTTGGATGCATACATAGCTGAGTGTTATTCCATTAAGACTTACAAGAAAATTTACTCTCATGTGTTGGAGCCATTGGAAGGTCAGTCAAATTGGCCGGTTGCTGATCATGTGAGGCCCCAAGCACCTGGTTACATCAAAATGCCAGGCGGGCCAAGGAAAGAAAGGAAAAGAGAAGAAGGAGAAGCACTAAAAGGGATAAAAATGAGTAAGGTGGGTGGACAAATCACCTGCAGTTCATGCAATAGGACTGGCCATAACATGTCAAGTTACAAAAATAATGTTGCTGCAACTAAGCATCATGGAAATGCACATATTGTCAGAGAAAGGTCTAGGAAAAGGAAACTGTAGAAGGAAGCCTATGAGGCAGAAACTTCAAAGAAATCAAAGGTAATGTGGTGAACATAAGTAATTTCAAATCTTTACTACATTGTCACATGTCGTATTATACCCAGATAGTCCATAAGTTTTAATGTGGTACACTGTTTCATGTGATAGGCTGAAGAAGTTGCAAGGCAGGGCAAGGGAAAGGCTGTAGCTCAAGACCTGCAAGTGCATGAGTCCAGAAGACCTACAGGAATTCAAATTAGGGAGCCAAGTTTACAACCAAGCTCACTGCCGGTGTCGCAACCAATCTCGCAGAAATATGATAAGCATGCTCTAGGCAGCAAGGCTAGACCAGCAAAGGTTCAGAGAAGTGCTGCTACTCCATTTGTTCCAACTAAACAAGTTACAAATTTGCCACAACACTGTGTCTTCAATTTAGCTGCATACAAAGAAGCTAAGAAAGGCAGGGCACGGCCTTCAGTTTGATGTTGAGGAGTCATTTTTGTGTCAAGAGTCATGTCGTGTAATATATATACATATATGGAGTCATGTATTCTCTGTACGATCAAGCAACTATGTTCTGTATTATATATCAGGTTTGTCACTTCAGATGATCTTTTCATAGTTGCATACAATATATTTGTATTTTTTGTAATATTTGGTTCAGTGTAGATGATCTTTTCATAATAACATACAATGTATTTGTATTTTTTGTAATATTTGGTTCACTGCAGATGATCTTTTCATAACAGCCATATCACTGGGATTTTGCTTTGAACCAAATTATGAATCTTTTCATATCATCATAGAGTATACAATACACATAAGAAGATCAGCCATAACACTGGGATTTTGCATTGTACCAAATTCCAAATATTTTCATAACACTTCCAAGAAGCATTGCACTGAACAAAAAACTAATTCTCGACAGATCTAATGGCAAGAAACGGGTTGAAATTAGTTTATGGGGTCCATATGTTTATTTCAGCAAGATAGGAACATCTATTTGCTATAATGTACTCTCAATTATGGTGTATTGTGAAATACATGATCTTTTGGAACAGTTTACTGTCAATTTGCTGTTATTTACATTCTATGAAGTACATGATTTTTTCCTAATATAACTCTGTGAAGCACAAAAATGCACAAGGTGTGCTGCCAGAACTGTACAAGATAGTACTTCAGGGCTTGTACAAGTCAGTACTGAAATTGTACTGTCATTTTGGTGCACAATCATTGAACAAGATAGCAAAATTTCATTCAGGGCATCTACAGTGAGATGATTTTTTCATAACAGCATACACTATATTTGTATATTTGGTTCGCTGTAAATAAAACATAGTATTGCATACATGAGAACACATATAAGAAGATCAGACATATATTCTGAATCTTTTCAGATCAGCATACAGTATACAATATACATAAGAAGATCAGCCATAGCATTGGGATTTTGCATTGTACCAAATTCCAAATATTTTCATAACACTTCCAAGAAGCATTGTACCAAATTCTGAATTTTGCATAACAAGATACAAGACAAATTCTAAACCCTTTTAACATCATACATTCTGAATTTTGCTTAACAACTTACAAAGAAAAACAATATACATAAATGACTCCCTATTGGACTTAATTTCTCCAGGATGCTTCTTTTTCTTCATGACAATAATTCCCAAAAGTGTGAAATGACAAAGCAGAACAGAGCAAGCACAAAGGACAGCTGCAGTTTCCAAATCCTCTTCTTCAGGACATCAACTTCTCCACGATGCTGACTTCCAAATCACACACATACGCATCTAGCATCTTGTTCTTCGCCAAGCTGGCATTTAGCAGACCATTTTCATTCCTTGACCATTCCTTCAATCGATACACAACATCCCGCAAATCACCAGAGCATCCTTCGGAACCTCACCGTCCGGATATAAAAAGCAACGAGCTCCTGTAGGAGAACAACAACGTTGATTATTAATTTGATCCCTCCTTCCAGCGAAGACCGGGCGACGTAGCGCTGTTGCAAGCTGAGAACGCCCGAACACAACCGCAGAGTGCGCATGCAGGGCGCGGCGCCGCAACAGTTTCACTGCTACACGACGGACGGCTCAGTCTCGGCCATGGCAATGCGTCGTGCGCCCAACGGCCGGGCGGGAGACTAGTAAATTTGAGGAAACGCCAACAGTGGTCGGCCGTACGTACAGAGCCATCGTCGGTGGCCGCTGCCACTTGTATGAGCTCGCGATTCCACCAACGAACGACACCAGAAGCGAAGCAGAGCGACAGCGGAGATGGAGGCACACGCATCTGGACACATGGCTTCGTTCCTTCGGGGACGAGCAAGCGGCAGGCGACGACGGCAACGGCGGACGGCGGACGGCGGACGGCGCCTGCGATTGCCAAGTCCTAGCGAACGAAAGGGGAGAGACATTTCTGGAGGCGACGGCGCTCTGATGAAAAAAGAAAGGAAGGAGACGAGGTGATAAAAAGAAAGAAATGAGAGAGACAACTGACTAATGGGACCCACTCAGCGTTTTTGCCCAGTCAACGTGTAATCTGCATCATGGGGGACAAAACCGCTCTAGATTAGACAGAAACCACTCAAGGGGGTTATTAACCCGGTTTTAGTAATTTCAGAGTGTTATTTGTCTCGGTTTTGAGTTCAGGGGGTTATGTATCCTAAAGAGTGGATTTGAGGGTGATTTGTATACTTCTTTCTTTTCTATTTTTGCGAGAACTCACGCGTGCCACAAAACTGGGCCAAGCCCAAATGCAGCCGTACTATTGTCTCCGGGAGAGAGACAGAGAGGAAAACCTACACTCACTCCGCCGCCGTCACTGCCACAACTCCACACCCCAACTCCGCGCGCGTGCGAGAGAGGATCGAGAGCTACCACCCGGGTCCGGCGTCCGCAGCCGGACCGCGCCTCTCCTCCCGGTTGAGGTCGCCACCACTCGTCAGAGGCGGATCGGGAACTCCCAGCCCGCGACCATGGCGGAGGCTGCAGGGCCGACGCCTCTCCTCGACGGCCTCCCCGACGAGATCTCCATCTGGGAGATCCTCGTCCGCCTGCCCCCCAAACCCCTCCTCCGCTGTCGCGCCGTCTGTCGCGCCTGGCGCCACGCCACCTCCGCCCGCGACTTCCTCCTCGCCCACCACGCCCGCCAGCCCTCCCTCCCCCTCCTCTTCGTCGACGCCGACGACCAATCCTCCATAGACATCATCACATACGACCAACGCGCAGCCGACAAGCTCCACTCCGTCGCCCGACTTGACGCCCCCTCCGGCGTCTCTCTCAGGGCCTGCTGTGACGGCCTCCTCCTCTTACGCACCTGGAATAAGAGCGCCCCATCTCTCTCCATCTGCAACCCGGTCACTCGTCAATACGCTCCCCTCCACCGGCTCGATGGCTTCAGGCTCTTGGGGATGTACCCGCACAGCCCTACGGGCCAGTACCGACTACTGCTGTACCTGGCCCCGAGGTTCGAGGACGATGCTCAAAGAGGTTCCTACGTCTTCACATTGGGCTCCGACCAGCAGCCGAGGCACATAGCAGGCCCTGATGCCAAGGAACTCTTGTATTTCCGCGGATCTACCCTTTTCCGTGGTAGCCTGCATTGGCACACGGACGGGCTGATAATGGTATTTGAAACCACCGTCGAGTCGTTCCGTCAGATGCACTCTCCAATTGTTTCTGACCATCGCAATGGCGACCTGTTTGAGACGAGTGATATGCTTGGCATGTTCAGTCTGAATGCACAAGCTACAATTGTTGATATCTGGGTGATGCAGGACTATGAAGGTGAAGTCTGGGCCTTTAAACGCCGGGTTGAATTGCCGATCGCAGAGATCATGGTGCAATTTCAAAATTCTGGAGATTGTTGGGAGCTGATGCCTGCATCTTGTTATGGTGATGTGCTCTTGCTGGCCAAATTTGACGACGACTGGCTACTTCAGGTTGACATTGATGGCAAGTTGGTTGCTAGTCTCCACCTCAGTTTCCTCCGTCCTACTCGACTTCGGCTCAAACAGTCTCTAGTTTCACATAACTTGTTTATGGCACTAGAGGGTTATGTTATCAATTCTTCGCCTTTCATCTGACCGAAGGATGTTGAGTATGGTGGTGCTTTTTTTACGGGAGTGTGGTGGTGCTTCTTAATGGCCTAACTCTTCGTATCCACGTGAGCTGCAGTATGCATTAGCTTGATCCTCTCTATGAGCCCACTAGCTTTATTTTGTTGATGTATAAATTGTTATGATCAAGAAGCTCTAGCTGTTACGGTGTTACCTGTTTGCTTTATATTTTATTTGAATACCCTTTTGGGCTGAAGTGGCTGCTGTGAGTGTTGATGCTAAAATTACAAATCATTTGGGTTAGAATCTGAAATGTTTTCCAATTGCTCTGACTCATGCCTCTGTTTTCATGAACTTTAAGTATGGACTTCTTTTTTCCCCTTTAGAGTTTAGATACTGGTCTTATTACTTTCTTAGTACTCAATAGTCAATTCTAGTCAATAGTATTACCTCCGTCCCAAATTACTTGTCTTGGATTTTTCTAGATACAGATGTATCTCCCAAATTACTTGTCTTGGACTTTTCTAGATACAGGGAAAATCCAAGACAAGTAATTTGGGACGGAAGGAGTACTTAATACAAGACAACAAAGAAGGAGTAGCTAGCAATTCTACTTGCATCGTCTGTTTTTATTGTCCTGTCTGTTTATCAGTGTCTTCTTTTAGAGGGATTACCCACTCCTCTTCTAAATACTAAAATTTAGAAAAAAAAATGCATGTGCTTCCTGTTCCTTTCTTTGTAGCTTATGATGATTTGATGCATATTATCATCCTTATTGACCAGCAAGCAGCACCTCAACTTTTACAAGAGTTGGGAGCACTACATTAATTTCTCATTGGAATTTTTTGTTGCAACTCATTCTTGTTCATTGCATTTGGTTAGGTATTGAAACATATTGTTATAATTCTGGCTTTGCATTGCATTGTTTGGAATCATAATTTTCATTTCACTTTAGGTGCTTTCCATTTCAAGGAAGAATCTATGTTTCTTGTTATGTTCAATGATGTGATAGAATAGATGTTATAATGTACAGGCTCGTATCGAAAACTATTAAGTGGTTTTGGTCAGCTTTTGAAATAGTTGGCAAATGATCTGCGTCGTGTCTTTGTTTGTCTTTGAACTGAAGATTTGTCTTGATTTTTATCGAGGTTTCTTTATTGAAGATCATTCAGTGGTTTCTCTCAATACTAAATATTTAGCCAATATACCACCGGTTTCCTGTTTATAGTAGCTGGTGAAGGGCGGATTGTCCTCTTTGTTGGGTAGCAATTCAAACCTGATTTTCAGAAGAGCTTGGAGTGTTGTTTGTTAAATTACATGATTTCATTATAGCTAACTTAGTGAGATGTTCTGTTGCAATTCATTCTTCTTCGTGTATCTGCTGCATCTGGTTAGGTATTGTGAAGTTTCGTTATAATTCTGCATTTTGCTGTTGCATTGTTTGTGATCATCTCTACCATGATCTCAGGTCCCAGATTGTGTTCTCCTTGAGACAATGTAAGTGTCAGCTGTGTTCTTTTTCTCTCTATAACCACGCAAGTCCATGTCCAGTACCACAGTGTCCGCCCCACCTTGCCCATTGTGTTGGTGGTCCCTTCAGCGAAGCTTGCAGTCAAGGTTCGTGCTTGTCGGTGGTCTCACGGCTTGCACTACTACAATATCATGCGTCTTGTGGCGGATTTTCGTTGTCAGTGCCAGTCAGGGATAAACAGGGTCCCGTTTAAGCCCATTTATCGGTCTAACAGGTCAATAAAGTTTTTTTTTGAGAAAAATGATCTATCGAGCAAACTAAAACTAACTAAACAGGCTTTGCGAGTGTTGTTTATTTGCCATTTACATCTCTAGTGCCGGTGACACTCAGTTGATTGTGTTTGCTCCGGTATCACATTGTGGGGACTTACGGCTCGTCGGCAGGTGTTGTTGTGTCAGCCTGCAAGGTCTTGGTATTTTGATACTCTTTGACGGCGCTCATCACACTCCTCCCAACATATTTTTAGGGTTGTTCTAGTGGTAATGGAAGATGTGTACGTCGACTCCAGTTGCCTCCGCTGAGCCGTTCTGGGACGTTGTCGCAGCCCCGTGCCTTCTTTCTGATGTCCGACCACATCGCCCCTTCCAGCGCGTGACCTCAAGATAATAGTGATGGCTGTGAATCGTGTACATGACACATGATTCACATTATGTGTAGATGGATCTGATGGCGGAGCTAATGTTTTTTTTTATGATTTGTCATCGGATTTGAGTTTTGAGTTCAAGAGTGAAACCATAAACGCCGAAGAAGACAAGGTAATAGTGATGGTTGTGAATGGATAGCGGCAACTGGTACGAAGAGTTAGGGTCAAGGATCACAGGTTGGTCGTCGGCAGTTTCACCGGAACAAAACCGAAGGCCACGAGAAGCTCATGCGTGGCTAGTTTATGCCAGTGTACCTTCCCTCTGTACGTGTTCCGACGACACTTTCGCATGACCGAACGACCGTTCCATCGAATTGCCAATGACATGGAAGTCAATGAACCTTTCTTCGAGCAACGGAGAAAGGTTGCCGTTTTCTTGGGATTCCCCCTTTTCAAAGTGACCATGGCACTTCTGATTATTACACATTACTCTCCCATAGATTCATGTGATGTCAATCTTCAAAGGGCTAAATATACGATCATAGAGTGTTTGCTGAAACCGAGGTGAGGGTTTATGGTGAGGAGTATATGCGAGCACCTGCCGAGGACACGACAAGGACTCTAGCGACGCATGAAGAAAAAAGGTTGGCCCAAGATGTTAGAGAGTGTTGATTGTATGCACTAAGAATTGCCTTGCATCTTGGCATGACCAATTCATCAAGCATTGCAAGGATCCGATGATAATTTTGGAAGTTATTGCCTCCAAACATTTGTGGATCTGACATTGCTATTTTGGGTTGCTTGGATCTCACAATGACATCAATATCTTGCAAAAAAATCTCATTTATTTGCAAGCCTAAGTGGCGGTACTTCTCCACCTTGCAACTTCACGGTGAAGGGCCATCATTATGACAAATGCTACTATCTAGCCGATGACATCTATCCATTTTGGTAAACATTTATGAAGACAATTTCTAATCTCGAGAGCAGAGAACATCAACATTTGACCAAGGCGCAAGAGGCTCAGAGAAAAGACATTGAGAAGGCAGCAACCAAGGTTTTGACTTGTTCGGGGGCCCGCTCGTTTCTACAACAAGGATGTCTTGAAAAATATCATGATATGATGCGTGATCATATACAACATGACCATAGAAGATGAGAGATATGCCAAGCCCCATTGACTATGAAGGTATTGGCACAACGGTCAGGCATTGTAGGCACACGTATCGCATTCAAGCATTTTCTGGAGGCGTACTGAAAGATTGAAGATCGGGCCTTCCATCGTTAAGAGGATCTCATTGAGCATCATTTGCAGCTAGCCGGGAGAAAGTGTGTGTTTTTTAAAATTCATTTTTTTCTTGAACAAATTATTTGATCTGATTTTTGTTAATTTGGATTATTTTACGTATTTAGATTAATAGTTTGTAATAATTATTTGATCATCTCAATTATTGCAAATAGGGTAGAAAGAAGAAAACATAAAAGAAATGAAGGCCGCATTACGGCGATTCGATGTTTCACAAAGCATCCAAAACATTATGAAGCAGGCGTTGCCTTGTATTTTCTTACATCTAAGGCGTTTGTCCAAGTGTATTTGTGTTGAGAACTTGAGATTCATGCAGGAATTAGAGGAATCAAGTTTAAGTCACATGGCTAACATCATGTATTTTTTGACATAAGAAAATGGCATGCACACATATGTCTTCCACGTCATCTGTTTATACAATCTATAGAAGATGTGTCTTTGACAAAAGATATTGCGCATGCCTCTGTCAAGCAGACGCATAGTCCATGATAAACATACCAACCGCCCTATAAAAGGCAAACTTAACCTAGTTTAAATGTTTAGGTCTTTTATGGTAGAACAATCCTATCGGGGTTCAAAATTTAGACTTTGACAACTGGTGCTCGTATTTTCTAGATTTATTTCAGATTATTTTCGGCCATACTCATTTAGTGGTAGGAGACGTTCTTGTCGACCACGGAGGCGCATGTGGTGACTTCGTCAATCTCAAAATAATGCGCCAACTCGATCTCTCGAAGATGCTCACGGGGTTAGGGTGTGCGTGCATGCATTCATAGGGGCGAATGTATGTACGTATGTATGAACGTTTGTACCGTGTTTAAAAAAAACCACACTATAAAAATATGTATATTTATTTAGTAACAACATTACATAAAAATGTGACTCCCGTAATAGTACATTTCACTTTACATGTCCCTAGCAATTACTACATAGGTATATAATGAGCTGAAATAATGAGAACAGATCAAACCAAAAAGACCAACACCTTTTGAAAAGAAAGTGAGCAAAAAAAATATCGACGTGCATGGATCTAGACCTCAGGTTGGGGCTCGCACTCTCTGATCGGGCGCGGCACTGTCACAGCAGCCCCCACCAGACGCAGGCTAGGAGGCCAAGCACGTGAACCACCGCGACACCACCCCCTGTGACGATCCGCGCGGGCGCCGCGAGGGACGTGTCCGTCGACGCTTCGGCCTCGGGCGCGTCGGCGACCGTCGAGGTGGGCGTCTTCCCCTTGGTCTTGGTGGGCGCGAGCGGCGCGGGCGCGGGCGCGGGCGTGCCGGCGATGGCCATGGGCAGGAGCACCTTGTTGACCTGGTAGACGACGAGCTGGTCGCCGGTGTAGAGCGTGTTGTCGACGGTGGCGTTGACGACCCCGGTGGTGATGTTGACCTGCTGGCCCTCGGCGGTGACGTTGAGCGGGTACTGGCCCGGGGAGGTGCTGCCGGCCTGCGTGCGGAGCGGGTTGCTGACGGTGTCGAACTGCGACATGGGGATGGCGGTGGAGAGGACGTGGTACTGGATGAGCGCGTTCTTCTGGCTGTCGGAGAGCGAGTTGAGCGTGCCGGAGGCGAGCGAGGTGAAGGCGTTGTCGGTGGGCGCGAACACCGTCATGCCGCTGCCGAAGCTGTTGTTGAGCTGGTTGTCGATCTGCGCCGCCACGCCCGTCGACTTGAGCAGCCGGATGAAGGTGTTGAACTGCCCGGCCTTGGCCAGCACCCCCGTGATGTTCGTCGTGCCGGCGGCAGGAGCGGGCGCCGCCGGGGTCGTGGGCGTCGTCGGCGCCGCGGGCGCCACCGCCGGGCCCTGCGCCGACGCCGCGATCGCCACGGACAGAAGGAGCACAAGTCTCTGCATGGCTGCCATGGTGCTATGTAGACGTGCAGACTCGATGCGACAATGCGAGTGATCCGAGTGATGGCGTGGCTTATAACGAGATGGGTGGGCCGTCGGGGAAGAGGAGTGAGGGGGAAGCATCTACTCCAGCAGAGAGGTGGTGGGTCTTGTAGGGTTTGTGTGGGGGGTAAGTGAGTGTGCCATTACAGTTACAGGGCACCAAACCCTGAGGTGAGCTGCCAAGGTGGAACAGGCTAACCACCTACTAGCAGCTGGCTGGCCGGGTTGCTTCCAGGAGCAGCAACTCCCCAGTGATCTGATTTTTCTTCTTCTTTCCTATCCTTTTGACAATCGGAGCTGTGGTGATGGTGATTTTGAGCTGGACAATGCAATCAAGTTTTATTTGGACAGGAGCACCTGGTTTTTCCATGCCATGCATCTACACGAGCTGGTTTTGTTCTTTCAGTAGGGCCTTAATTAGTATTATTACTAGTTGATTAGCTGAAAAGTGCATCCAAAAGAGGCACACATGCGTGGGGGGCCAAAGCTTGATTGTTAGAGGAGGATCCTAGCCATGGTAACTGAAAGCTTATGCTGTTAACTGGGTGATCCAATTAATTATTAATCAGATAAAAACAAATGCCTAGCATTCGACCTGAAATAACCGTTTGGGCAGCGAGCTTTTGCTTAAGAGAGGGACAAGACACATGCAATTCTGAATCTATACGTGCATGCAAGCGGAAATCCATATGATGAATAGTAAATTCAGACAAATAGCCAAAAAATAGAACATATGAAAATTTTGCACATAAAAAATGAACAAGTTTTATATGTGTGCGCAAACTTTAATGCCAATATGACATTGGGGGAGCTCGGCGCGGCAAAGACAAAATCAGTGCTCCAAAATCGAAAATCTG